GTGTGTGTGTGTGTGTGTGTGTGTGTGTGTGTGTGTGTACTTGTTTTGACTACAGAATGAGTACCATTTGCACCATGGTTACCATCAAAGTGAGGTCTTTGATGTAAAGTGAGGACCTCTTCACTGTCCTCACTTTACAGTTAGGTTTAGAGTTATGGTGTGAATTAAGTTCTAGTTCAGGTTAGGGTTAACTATGGTTAATTTTAGGGAAAATGTCTGGGTTAGGCATAAATGCAGTTACAAAAATGAATGGAAGTCAATACTAAGTCCTCAGTTTGGTGCAAATACAAGGAGGTGTGTGCACGTGTCTCCTCCTGCCTTTTTTTGACTGTTTGCCCCTTTCTCTTTCCTCTCACCATTCGTTACAAAGCTGTAGTCCTTGGCTCGACCACTCAAGGTCATTTCCATGGAGACTTCAGTCCTCGGGGGCTGTGTGTATGAGGAACTGTGGATCAAGGGGGGGCGGGGTGAGTTGGGTCTGGGCTCCAGGACTACAGTGGGCTCCCTTTCCAGAAGCAGGTTTACTACCTTTGGGGGAAAAAAAAAACACTTGTAAATTGCCTTCAATATGTGTAAAGTACATCACAGCCAACACTGACAATATTGTGCAGTAGTATCTATTTTTTTAGCACTGAGATGTCTAAACAATCAACACAGTGATAAGCTTTATGGTGTAAAAAATATGATGCTATCTTGTTGTGGTTCAGCTATTTTATATGATGTGTTCTGATTGCAGCAAGGTTTAAATAAATAAATGACATAAGCAACTCTATATAAAAGATAAAAATGCAAGAAAAACGTAGCATATTTGACATAAACACATGTAGTTTGAAGCGTTTTCGCTCTAAAATAGAACACCCGTGCAATTAATTGTGTTTTCCCGTAAATGTAAATGTATTTGTATGTGAGTGTGTCTGTGTGTTCATGTTTTCTGCCCGTACCTCCCCTGTCCTCTTCAGGCACTCAACAGCATGCTGGTGACTCACTCCCCTCAGGTTGGAGCCGTCGACCTCCAACAGTCTGTCACCTGTCATGTGCGCAAACATAAAATCTCGTCGTAATTAGCGACAACGAAATGTAAATGGTCTGCGAGCATGCTGGCKGACGGGCTTGTCAACAAATCTGAAAATCATTCGCGCTCACTGAAACGTAAAGCATGCAGACACCAAAGGTGCGCTTTTTATTCAAGCGGCAAACAAGACGACTGAACAGTCTATTCATCAGAACTTTGGGGTATTATGTAAATGATGTGAAAGGTTGTTTTTCAAAACAAAACACACACAAAATGAGAAACGGAAACAATTTACAGCATTGACGCATTCCTTTGAATTGAGTGATTTTAGGCGACATATTGTGTAGATTACCGATCTGAATGCGCCCATCTTGTTCAGCAGAACCTCCAGGCACCAAACTCTTGATGTAAACGCCTCCGTTCTGCACACTTGTGTTTTTCCCACCCTTATAAAAACAGAAATTTCAAAGAGGTAAATAATAAATGTCATGTAACTCATCTAAATCATTATTATTTTGGTAGTGGGCTGTGACGTCACTATGGTTTTGTGTAAATTTGTCGACATGACTTGTAACATTTAACACAAACTGTTGTAAAACGTAAAAAAAAATCATAGAATGTAATACTTATAGACTTAAAAAGGGTAAAAACTCACAGCAACACTCATTCCAAGGCTACCACGGCTTTTCTTTAACTCCACACTAAAACGCTCCCCTGTTTTAAGGCTGAAGACGGACGGAGACTTTGGACAAACATCCTGCGAGTAAAGATGCAGAAGAACCTAAATGTTAAAGCATTGCAATCAATTCATGGTTTATTAATAAAATAAAATAAATAAAACATGCGTAGTTTATTTTACTTGCTTCTATTCTTATTTACAAAATGACAAGTGTCTATCTACTGCAAAAAGTTGATGACAAGCTTTATCCCGTTTATCTGAGATCTTAAAGTGCATGTGATGTCAAATTTTGGTAATAAACATGAATGAATKTTTTTGAAAGATAACATTAATAACATATTGCAAAACAAATTTCACGTTGCTGAGATGAACGGTTGTTGAGAAATTTACATGTGAAGAAACAGGAAGTGATGTCAAAGGAGAATGTCAGCATGTAAACAAAGCGTATCTTATGCATCTTTAGATTATTTTTAGTCGCTAACAGAGAGAGACGAAGAACAGTTAAAGTTTTAAAAATGTTTTAATAAACAGAGTTTATTTTGTTAATGAGTTCCCCTCTGATGTCACTTCCTGTTTCACTTTGGCTGAGCCAAATTCAAAGGAAAATAGGCCACTTATTTGACAAAATGGGTAAAATCATGTGYACTATGCCAATTTTCTTAAGTATAAAGATCCTTTGTTTGACTTTTTGTATTTGAAGGATAGGCATGTCACAGGCACTTTAAGAGTCGGTACGGGTCGACCTGCTGCTAATTGATAAACATGTGGCTTGGCAACAAAGTCAATTACCTTTGACTGAATGAACAATGGTTCCTACCTGAGCATCGTGTATTCGAACCACAGGAATGTGAAGCTTCCTGTTCTGTTTTGGGGTTGCCATGTTGGACAGTGTGATGGCCTCCTCCAGCTCCTCTATGAGGGGGCGGAACTCCGTGCCGCTCAGGGTGGTCTGCGATCCAAAACTCCTCTCCAGTGACAAACCAAGAGTACTCTGACTCAAAGAGCTCTGTCTCTCCTTCAGCAAATCTGACCAGAAAAACAGTCATCACATACCTGACTGTTGTTATCACCAACACACGAAGTGATACAAAGAAGGCACCATTAATTCAGCTCTTACATTTAGGCTGGGACACGATAAGCTCCACCTCCTCAGGACTATTCTGTAAGATGGCAGCAGCATCACTGAACGTCACTCCTTCCAAACTCGTTTTGTTTAGCGAGATGAGGCGTCCACCTGCAAAATCAAACAGGAACATGCCCCCACAGAACCCACGGTTGTTACAACGTGGCCTCCACCACTTGCAATGACGTGATTTTCACAATGTTTGTTTAGAAACAGTGAGGCAGAAGCTTCCAGCTCCTGTTTCCGTTGCTTCATACCAGGTTTGATTCTTCCATCTTTATCTGCGGGTCCATCAGGCACAATGGATGCAATAAAAATCCCAAGGTCGAGTTTTCCTGTATTGTCTTCGCCCACTATCACAAACCCTGCAACGCAGCCAGACAAAACGCGAAGCTGAATGTYTCCTGAATAAGATTAAGTTCCACTAAGAGACATTCTTGCCTTTATCGTTACATTAAATTTGCATTGAATGGGTCTAAATGAACTCACCAAAACCCAATTTGGAATCTTTCTTCAATGTCACACAAACTATTTCTCTCTCTGGTGGAGTCCTTGTTGGTGTATCAACTAGAGAAAGCAAAAACAAGTTATTTGGAAGGAAGATAAGCCCTTCTATAACATAAATTGAAGAACTTATTAGACGTAATTGCTTATACATGGAGGATTCAAATGATAACACTTGATTTAACATTCATTTTTCCTGTGATTTTTCAGATTTCTGCATGTTTACATTAAAAATAGTCACCTTTTAAAGATGATGAGGCATCGGAGTCCTGTTTGTGTAGCGATACACTGGACAACCTTCTGGGAATAGTCTCTGGAGTGCTATAACACATTTGCATGGTTGCATTAGGTTTCATCTTAATGTTTCTCTAGCAATAAGGTGAATCTTATCATCATCATCATCATCATTCAGGAGCTACCTCCAACACTGTCGCTCCTTCGCATCCCTGAGGTCTCTTGTTTCAGACAGCTCCTTGGTCATCTCTCGCCTCAGCTCTCTGTGCTGGCAAAGTCGAGCTTCCAGTTTGGCAGTAAGGTCATCGCAAGACTTGGAGAGGGAATCCGGCTGACCGGGTGTCAAACCTACATGGTTCAACATGCCCTCCGAGCAAGAAATCCGCTTCAGGCTCATGTTACGAGCCCTGTAAGCAGAGATGCTTTCATCTGGTGAGAGAAAGAAAAATCACGTCCTTGTTTATGTCCTTCTTCAACATGTCATCGGTGTTAAAGCCAGTTTTTCTCACCRGGGATCATAGTGTGGTTGAGCTGTCGTGACGTCATCTCACTGTGAAACTTGTGCTGAGCTGAGCAGAGGTTYAGGAGGTATTGTGCTATTTTTGAGCTTTCTGTCACGAAGCTGTGCTTTTTCCCGCTGGGCCCACCGCACTCTATAATCAGCTTACGCCGCTGAAAGACAAATAGAAAGTAATGARCACTGATCTTCCATTGTAAATGAGCTACAAAACTACAAGTTATAAAAAAAMCTAACAAACAGAAAAATAAAACCTTTAACAGATGAGCCAAACACAAGTACAGCATTTGGGTTCCTTAGTTAACAACGAAAAACCGTTAAAAGATTTTGTCTGGTTGTCTGGTCTTGTTAAGGCCCTGTCACACTATAACATTTTAGACAACTTATGCCAACTTAAGAAGTTTGTTTTTTTTGTTTAAATTACTAATCAAAGTTACCGGTATGTATTTGATCAATTCGTTACCATGGCTAAAAGAGGCTTCCAGTAATTTTTTTTTAATTCCATCTTCAACGTAGATGTCATTAAAATGTTCATAAGTTGTCTAAAACGTTATAGTGTGACAGGGTCTTTAACAAGCATCGGTGGAGTGAAGCAGTTCTAGGGAGTTTGGGGGCACAACATTTTGTAAAAAAAAAAAAAAAACTACTCTAAAGTATGTATTTTCCAGCCATTTGAAGAGCATTTTACTAAATTCTTGGGATKAACAAAACAACATAAATTCAGTATTTTATGAATGTAGAACAATGAAAAACAGACTTTAACACAAACTTTRTATTAGATCATAACTGAAACTTCCACTATCCTTCTTTTGTTTTGTATTTACACCCTGAGTTACCAGTGGTTAGTCTTGACAGCATCATATAATACTTTTATCACAAAACATCCTCCATATAACAAAAACAAATTATCTTTATAAACTTGTATAACCAGTGATTATTCTACAGACTAAATCAACTATACTCTGATAAAAATTTACTCTTTTTTTTATCCCCCATTTGTGGTGACCCCTAGAAGGACAATGCCCTTAGCATTGGCCTATACTGCCTATGCCACGGGCCAACTTTGCATTAATCATAACCTAATTTCAGCTTTAAATGCTTAGCATGTCATTAAATTATTTTTTTTGACATAYTACACATATAAACAGAAGAAAAAGAAACTTATTTCACCCCAGTGGATATGGAATCCGTTTCCCTCCATAAGAAGCGCCTGGTGACAGTTCGCAGGTGGTTCTTTGTCTCGTACACGATGATCCCTTTGGCACATACTCCCAAAACTAACTCTCCAATCAGTGGCCTTTTCTCTCTTCCCACACGGTGGAACATCACCCCGTACTCTGGTAACTGCTGGACAATCTGAAGGGCAAACATTTTTTTAAGATTAGCTGTCAAGTAAAATGAGTATTAAATTTCAAAATATTTGCTTTAACTCCTTCACAACGTACAGCTGTATGCTTTGTGATTTCAGCATTTTGCAAGGTAAGGCGTAATGTAAAAAAAAGCAAGATATAAATCATGGGATGTAGTGTGTTTTTGTGTGGAAGTTTGATTACCTTTAGGAACTCAATTTCTGCCTCTTCTGGCAGTAAATGTGCATGGCTTGCATGCAGTCTTGGCAACTCCTCCCTGATACTGGGAAGGGCAAGTTTCTCCAACATCCTCCTTGATACATAATGCTCTGGCTGGTAATAGTCCTTACCGTACAACTAGATTGACAAAAACACAATCAAGCATGCTGTAGCACCACTGATATATGATAGTGACATATAAAATGTGATCTTTTCTGTGTACCTCTGGCATGTAATCACCAAACTCAGCCTGCAAAGCAAGAGCAGCCAGGAACAAGCCCGTCTCCTCATTACAGTACAGCCTGTCTTCGATGATATCCTTACGAAGCTGTAAGTAATACTGGTGACGAGTCAGTCTATGTCTACAAAGCACGAAAATAAAAAACAAAACAGATGAACACATAGGCGTCATTTACTGACTGGGTTTATCTACAAATAAAAATGAAGTAAACCATGAGACCAAAGCTGCACTTACAGAACAAAAGTGATGTCATCAACAAAGAATTTGACCCGGAGATAGACCAAAAAGGAAGATATCTGCCCTTTTTTCCAACTGTCTGGAGCAACTTTGGAGATTTTGGTTTCGTGATCCAAAAAGAAGTATTCATCATCTGCAAAAATGCCATAAAAATCCCTTTTCAAAGTCGACATTTTGTTGAATAATACCACCAGGCAACCATGCAAACCAATTTTGATATGGAATGAATTTTTCAAAACAGTGATGAAGTCAAACTCAGATTAAGTCCCACACAGCATGTCCTCTTACCATCTAAGAAGGAAAGACCAAAGTAAAAGTGCTCCACCAAGTTTGCGTGAGCCACCACCATGTCAAACACATCTCGTGCTCTGGATTTAATGTCACAGCGAACAACCACGTACTGCCCGTTAGCCATCACTACAGTCACTTCTCTCTGAGAAAAACTCGAATGGCCCTTTCTGGACTGTGGTGTGCAAACACAGAGATACGCATGCACATAAAACAACAAGAGACACACTGAGAGGAACATGCGATACCACAAACAGATAGCTCAACATGCAAGAACTGAAGAGATATAGTGAAAAAACAGTACATTAATTGGGAGAAGATAGACAAAAAAGGAAAACGACAAAAAAATCGTTAATTTACCACAATAGATCCTGGAAGCTCAAGCAGAACTTGCTGCTCATCTGGCATCCTGATGAACTCAGGACCCAACAGCTGGGGGAAAAAAACATTTTCTGTAAAAACTTTCTTCTCCCAACGCTCTTCCGGTTTCAGTCTTGATTTTACCTTAGCTTTCCTCTGGCTCAGGCTGAGMGAAGACTCGCTGAAGGTGATGGACGGACTGTGAGATCTGCCCGACGTCTTGGGAGAGAAGTCGTGTTGGGGGCTCCGACCGACCCAGCTGCAGTTGCTGTCCCTGCGATGCGCCCTGCGAGGAAGCCTGATGCGCAAAAAGAAATGGACGGGTTGAGGAAAAGCAGTGCAGACAAGTGGGGAAAGTTAAACCTTTCTTTCAAAGTCATCAAGCCTGATCGGGGTGGGGAATTTGTATGTATGTTACAATGTGATGCAAGTACATGCCTCTCTAGTGACGACTGGTACAGCAGCGTGGGAGAGCTTCGTGGTCTTTGCCTCCAAGGTCTTTGAGGTAAACTCCCTGCACCACAGAAATAAAATATACTACTTGAAAAAGGATAGATGTTAGAGTTGAAAAATATTTCGTTATACACACGAGAACAACATTTATTGGAAAGAGATAATCTTCCAGGTGACTTGTGACATTTYTTTTTGTCCTGTGTGTACCTGATTTTGAATCAGAGTCCGTTGAATACCTTCTACCTTCAGCACTTCCTTCACTGAAGTCTGACAACGGCCCCCTTTTTCCTGTCAGCCAGGTGGGAGATGAAATATGACAGAAAGATGTTTCATTTCCGTCCGTCTCTGTGCTCCTCTAAGACTCTGAGATGTTTGAACGGGTTTAGCCTGGAGCATCCTCCGCTCCGTGTATCTGATTATTGGCTCTCACTGCAGCCTAATCCTGGGCTTGCTTTAGGCTAAGATTTTAATCCCATTGACCTCCACGGTGTCTTGAGTCAAGAGAAAGATGACAGAAAGTCCTATCTATAAATATGTAGATGAGAATTGCTGAATTGGTTTGTGAGAACAGGGAGCAAATGTTTAGAAGAATTTCTACTTTTTCCCCCTTTTTTTGTTAAACATCTCAGAATCGTAGACAGGGTTTAATTTCAGTTATCTGCTCACTGTGCTTATTATGGAAGACAATGTGTGATAACTTTAAAACCTGATGGCTTCATGCAAACATAAAACCCCATTCAGACCTGGTATTTCAATCTGCCTTTAGCAATGAGATTAAATTTAGATTGTGCTAACTACAYATGTGAATGACCATATCAGTAATGAAAATGTTTTCACTCAGACCCACTAAAACAAAATCCAAACTGTGATCTTTGAAAGCCAAATGGTATAGAGAAATCCAATAATTTTGATGTATTAGTTTGTACTGATGCTCTAATTGGTTGAGTACACTCAAAAAAACAGTTGTGTTGGATTTACTGAACTTTCAAATTTTTCTTTAAAAATAAAAGTGAAAGTTGCTTTACACGTAYTCAGTGATGGACAAAGTTCCCCTAAAGCACTAAATTACTAATAGGGGAAATAATTTCCCGATTAGTGCTTCAGGGCTTTTGCTAATTTCTTAATTCTTTAGCAAATTAGCACTTGCAAAATTTATGGGCTAAATTTATAAGCACTGAGTTCTTTAAATAGTATTGATCAATTTTATTGTCAACAGCTGAGTGTGAAAGCTGTCAGGCGTCTTGGTCATATGCGTGTCACTTATCCACTAGATCAGTGGTTTTCAAACTTTTTTGCTTCCGACCCAGAAAATATCAGTTGCAGACACTCATGACCCCAGATATTACTTGTATGCAAACTTTGCTAATAACACTGTTAAACATGGGAATAACTATAAACAAACCTAGTAACTATGGTMCTAATTTTTATTCATTTATGATTATTTTTTAGAAATTGGAATAATCAAGATGAATATCTTCCATTAGCATTTTTTGCATTTTAATTGATGTCTGGAAATCATCTGGGGACACTCACTTGATGTTTTGGTCCTGACCCCAACTTTGGGAACCACTACACCAGATGAAATATTAACAATATTTTGCACACAGAAAATATTGCCTCGTGTTGTTCCATGGGTCAGCTGGGCTTTTAGTGCTTTAGAATTAACTTTTGCTAATTTTTTTAAGTGTGTCGGTGCTTTAGAATTAGGAACCTAAATATTAAAGTTAGTACTTTAGGGTTGGTGCAGCTAGTTTTTAGATTAGTGCTGCCCACCACTGAACTGATGCATTTCAGCTGAGTGGATATTCTTGACATAACTTAGTTACCGTAAGTAAATCCAACTATCTGTTTTTGCAGTGTATGTTTTGTTTTCACTGAGTGCGTTCCTGCATTTGCATACCAGCATTGCATATTAGTGTATCTTGAAAACTACTGAAGTAAACTCTTTCAAACTGCACCATGTGATAAAGTTTAGGACATTTTTATGTTTGACTTCATGATTTACCATGAGTATCTTTAACCACTGAATTCTATTCATCCTAAGACAAAATAGAACAAAGTTATCAAGACTTAACTTTACAAAAACTGACTCAAACAACTGAAATAATGTTTAATTAACATAGTTCAGATGTTTGAATGTATATTAATTTTTAGAGTAACGTCATCGGACCTGATGATGACCTGTTATTTGTGCACCAACAGCCCTCTAGATGAAAACTGTTGTCTGATCCAAAAACATTTTGGGGAACACATTTAACTGGCAAGTGTGACTCTCATCTGACCACTTACAATCAAATCAACAAAGATGGATGTATAATGCCAAGTCTGAACAGGGCCTACAGATCTGCTTTAAAAATCTTGCATGCAAACACCTTTTTTTTGGGATTTGAGCTCAGATTTTTTTCCTTTCTCGTTTGATAATCTTCATCTGATTCATATTTACAGACACTGATTGTTTGTGAGAACTGTGATCCCAAGTGGTTAAATAGAAGGCAACTCGACATCTTCTCTTTTGTTTTTTTTTTCAGCTCCAAGAAACAAGAGTTGCCTTCAATAAAACCCATTTTGGAGTACCACCGCTGAGAATACACTTCTATGTTATTTAATATTCATGCTCACTATGAAGTCTCTCCCTGATCATCTGGCTCCTCCCACTCAGAGGGATGTTGCTGTCTGGCAGAGAACTATGGTCCATCTAAAAAAAAGAGAGAGAGAGAGAAAAGGGGGGAGAAAAGCTGCTGTTGACAACTATTCGAACTTGATTAGATTTTTGTCATAATGCGGWTGCGATTCAGCTTTCGTTTCTGACACATACTGTATAACATGGGCTGCAGAGAAGCTCTAATGCCAACAGGGAGGAACATGCTGTCGGTAGATATCTACGACTCACTGATTCGTGGAAAACCTCCTCCACAAGTTGTTTAATGACTTTGGCGGGGGGCGTCAGGGTGGAGGCTTTGTGCTGGGACTCGCAGGCTTCCAGGATGGAGATGAGATTTAGCCTGCGGTGGGCCAGGTCCTCGCACATGCTGAGGAGGAGGCTGTTGAGATGGTCACTCAACTGGACTGGCTGACGAGGACAGAGAGAAAAAAAAACTTTTGAATGGCCGGGTGGAGGGGGAAAGTACTGAAACATCATTGAGAGTGTGGTTTCAGAGGCTCCCACCTGATTTGGAGGAAGGTGGAAATCAACCGACCAGTAGAGAGTCATTCCCAGCGAGTACACCAGCATCTGTGTGACAGAATGAACTGGATGAGAACAAACTATAGAATAAAAGACAGGCAGCTAATTCTGGAATAAAACTTTGCTTATATATATGTACAGTATATTAGTGGTGCAACGATACAGAAAATTCACAATTCGGTTCGGTTCAATACTTTAGTCTCACGGTTTGATATTATTTTGAAACAAAAAAGAGAAACTTCCATGTCCATTTTAACTTGTAATTTCTTTGAATTAATTATGAACATTTGTTTAATCTCAAAAGYACAGTTTTTTTATTAAATGTTGCTGAAAAAGCAAGTTTCTCAGTGGATCTGCGCTCAACAATGCAGCCTAGGTGAAGTAGTCGAACACAGATCCTCTGATCCTTCAACACAGAGCATCTTCAGAAGACAAGCTGATAAAATAAATGTTAAAAATCAGTATTGTTCGATACAAGTGTGTATTGAACCTAAAGCACTGTAATGAACGGTTCGATATGGGTACATGTATTGTTGCACCCCATATACACACACATAAACACACACATATACACACACATATACACACATGATGATGAAATAAATGTTATATAGAACAGAAGTCCTATCTATGATAAATAAATAACCTGTCTCCAAATCTTTGGTGTTCTTTAAAAAAATACTACATTTTTACCAAATGAGTGAACTTCAAACCTTGAATATTTTACTCTTTTTTTTWGTTTTTAATACATAGTTTATCCCCTCTAGGTACTCGCATGTATCTTTTCATGGTAATCACAACCTTTCTTTAAAATACTACTTGTATTTACGCTTTTCTGACCTAATTTTGTGAGAATTTTCTATCTCATTGTAATCACATTTTTAAAATGTATGTATTTGTGGTTATTCTAATGTCCTTTTTTGCTGTTTGGCARTTGTTTCTCTTTGATGAAAACGTGTGTGAACATAAGAGAATATTTAAACCTCGACATAAACTGGGCGTGTCATAATGTATTTTAATCGTAATTTTAGTTTTTGTTTAGAATACCATGATTTATTTTTCAAAACTGCCAATTTTAGCCACTAGGTGGTGCGTTTAYGCTTTAGTTGACCTTCAGTTCCTGATGTTCTGAGATTTTGCACTCACAGGAGAAACATAAAACAAAATAAAACATCAGTTTGTGACAGCACTGACTGGAAACTGATTCATCCTAGTCAGGTGGAAGGTTCCTGACAAAAAAAAAAAAAAGCCAAATGACCTCAATTTTAGCATCYAGAAGCTTGTCATTATCACTTTTATTTCAGGTATTAGGACCCATGCACTGACCTTATCTGTGGCAGGTTTTGTTGAGCCGGCACGGTCCTGCAGCATCTCTGGAGCAGCAAAGGCAGAAACCTCATCTGATAGGCCACAGTTCTTAAATGCTAAGGTACCAGTGGCTGACAGCAGCAAGGAGGTGGGGCTTATGATATTGCACATATTGTTATGACCTGAAATGAGAAAAAGAATACACAAAATATAATGTTTACAATCACGTTTCTACTGTTCCACTGTAAAGTCCATTTTAGTGAAACTAAAAGACAGAATAAAAAAAAATGTGTCAGAGTGTTAAAACAGTGTGTGAGTCAGCAATGATGGGGGCAATCATGAACGCTTTACCCTTATAAGAGACATCCATTAAACACTCTGCAGCGCCCAGCAGTAGGGACCAGACCTCCTCCTCCAGAAGAGGTCCCCCTCGAGCCTCCAGGACTTCAGCTAATGTGACAAATGTGCTGCTCATTCTGCCCACATTCCACACACACACCTGGAAACACAAAATACACGAAAACGGGTCAATTATTACGCCTTTTCTAAAGATAAAAATCTGTAGACAGAAAGGTTTTCTTGCAAATTAGAAAAGGTGCAAAATCCATTCACTGGATTTAAATAAGATAATAGATAAAGTGTTTCAGCTGGAATAAACTGTACATTTAAATATTGCAAATGCAAACAGAAGGATTCTTTATAGCTGCTAAATCCGAGGTTAGGATTTCTCTATACGTCAAAAAAGGACACAAATGACCACAATGTTGTGAACAGAACAGGCTCAGAAATAAGAGAATGAAAATGAATGCAAACATGCAAGCAACTCAATTACCCAAGTGTTGTCAGAGTGACAGCTGTGGTTCATAAAACTCAACTATTGTGCTGATTTCACCAGATGACACGCGTGTTTCTCTTTGTGTGGATCTGAATCTCTCAGACCTATAGTTTAATAAGCTTTCTTCTTCTGATAGTTCCTTCCAGCTCGGCTCATCCGAGGCTTACGAGATTACACGTGAGGAAAAATAAAACAAATGTCCACATCACTAATAAAACCGCAACATTTAATTCAAAATAAAGTGATGTAGCTATAAAGAGAAATGCAAAACCGTGCTTGCATAAGAGTGTTCTTGTTATGACGTGGAAGTAGGTGCTCCACGCACCCACCCAGGCCTGAACAGAACTTCAGCAGCTGGTGTTTCCACATACAGTGGTCTGTTTACAAAAACCAAGCCACGATTTTTAAAAAACATTTCTCTCCTATGCTGACATGACAATCATAGGCTGAAGAACTATGTGTGTAAATAAGCTATACATCTCTCTCTCTGATTTCTCATGAGCACATGCAAACTCATTCCACTTCCAACCTATTATTTCAAATGTGATTTTTACAAAAGACTCAAAATCTCTTTGATTCCTTAAGTTTAATATTCTCTACATGTTTGRAACTATAATTTGATAATAAATCTTTAATCTCTAAATATATGACAGTGATGCAGAGACAGACAGAAGGAGAGGGGTGTTCTGGGTAAATTAGGACAACATGCCTTTTGTATGGGTCTCATACTTCTTCCTGACAGGAGGACAATAAAACCMGATGATGCAAACTGCTACAACATCAGCCTCAAGCCTTATGTTTTTATTTCCATACAAATGGTTTTGTTCAGAAAGGCTCTGTTGTGCTGCTTTTAAAAAAATAAATAACTTTATTTGCAGTGCTGTGAAAGCTGAGSCCAGGCCTATCTCATTTCATCTCCAATCTCCATGATCAACAACAGAACAATCTAAATATACACATCCACTGGAACTGAGCAAACTATGAGCAAATAATTTTAAAAAAAAAGCAGTGTCTATAGTAAATTACCTGGCAGCATATGTAGCCTGTGTTCTCGGTCTGCTTCTGTTCAGAGCTCCCAGCACAGATCCAAAGTAATCTCTGTGATCATCGCAGTGCTGCTGTGATGTCCTCGCAGTGAACGCTGCTCGCTCCTGGCAGGTGATCCATCAGTGACATGAACTGAACATGGTGCCCGAATCATTTGCTCCGTTTCTCCCCCTTCTCCCTCCCAATCTGAAGATCGGAAACTTTTTTTCCTCTCTTTTCTTCCTTCCTTTCTTTTTTTGGGGCCCCAGTGAACTGACGCTATTCTTAGCTTCTCGCCTTTAAACACTTGATTGGATTAACATGGAGGTTTGACAGCGGACAGGTCAGAGCCACCAACAGCGCGTGGCGTGAGATCAGCTACACCGATTTAACCAAATCCGTCTGACGCCCAAAGGTGCGGTGGATCCACGGGTTAGGTGCGCTGGATGCTGCTACGGAGAACCTGGGAAGGACAAACCATCCTGCTCCGGCTGAAGGGCTGCTCCCCGACGATGATCATCACACTGCGGGCTCTCTTCGAACAGGGGGTAAGACGCCGTAGTAGCTCTGTGTCTTGCGGCGGAAGTCGTCGCTGGGACGTTTGTCCATGCCGCTGCGCTCAGCTGCTTCCTGCAGGCCACAAGGTATCTGCGCAGGGACGGGAGGGTTAGGAAGAAAGAGAGAGAGAGAAAAAAAAGGGGAAAGAAAACAAACAAAAAATATCCAAGGTGAAGAGGTAAAATTGACACTGCTCAGCGCCGAGTTCACGCAGTTTTGCTGRATGTCCTCCTTGGCACTGTTTTTGAAGTCACATGCGCAGAGCATGGCACGGTTGTAGCGTACAGATCTGATGCATGAGCTGTAGATGGTGCCCTCACGTTATCTAAGCTGTGCACACTCCTGCAGACTCCTGCAGAAATGATCCTATCAGCTGAAACAAAACAGCCAGAATGTGACAGATTTAGCTCTGACAATGAAAATGATTCACTTAGAAGCAATTTGTCACTGTTTATACTCAGGAAACCAACCTACAAACTAACTGAAACTGTATTGAACACATTATTTTTATAGCATATAAAATATGACTTATGTGAAACATTTAAATCATAATTTATGTATAAACTTGGGACAAAAAGGACATTTGTGTTTGGTAGATGATTTTGTTGTTGTAATAATGGCAATTAATCAGATACTGTTGAAAAGCCTGTAATTTCCATTTCAAATGGTGCCGCATTTGTAAGGAACATGCTTTCGTGGGATGAGCAGTATGCTGAGTGGGCTGTGCACATGAAAAGTTAGCAAAATCTTCTCTGCCAAACAGCTTATTTTTTCTATTGCTATTAACACTATATTGTCTTGTTGTAATTTTGTGTGTTGAATTATTTTCACCATATGCTGACGSTGAACGTTTGAGTTGCTGGTTGATTTTGTTTTGCGAGTATGGGGTCGATATTAAAAGTTTATACTTCTTTCTGCTCCTTTTCATTCATGAATTCTTTCTAACTCAGTTTTGTTTTCCCTGACTGGTTTTKTATGCATCGTTGTTTATTTTATTTTTCGTTTCATTTTTATTATTTATTTTTTATTGGATGACTTGTTTTTATTTTTGCTATTATTTTCTAATTACATCTTTTTTATTATTGGATTTCTGTTTTAATTATTGGATGACTTGYTGTTTTGTACTCATATTTCAATTCATGATTGAAACAAACCAACAAACAAACAAACAAACACTTGTCGTAAACTTATGCAGTCTGGTGTCGTAACAAAATTTAATGCCAAGAAGCATTGTTACAACAAAGAAATAATCTACCAAACACTAATTTTCTATATTTTGTTCCTAATGAGCTGTTTCTTGTAATCTTTTGAAGGTATACTACTGTAATTGCAAAGTCATGAGAACCCAACAAACATAAACCAAAGAAAATAACATCTGCTCAATATTTTCCCATACTGATGGTTAATGTGTCTAACAATGAAATAATTTGTAAACAGAACGTTGTCCGAGTTTATCATCTCACTCAAGCTTTCCTCTTTTATTTCTTATTTGGTTGCAGATTAACTCTTAGATTTGCACCTGAGTGGTGGTTGGTTTTGGGTTGGGCAAATTTAGGAGTGGYCATTGCCCCCACATGCCCTCCCTTATCGGCACCTCTGTTAAAAACAATCAGTGTTGTGTCAACCCACAACTTTGCAAAGAAATGTTCTTAAACTGAACTTTTAGACACTTTAGTATTATTATGAACACTTGAATTAAAAAAAATACTAACAAATAGCATATTTGACATTTAAATTAATTAAACGATTAAAGTTCTGTTTCTGGTTTAAGACCATTTAATTCGGTTTTCCTAAAAACACGACCCTCAAATATTGTTTTTCTTGCTGTAGATATTTTTTTTCTTGGGGCTTGTTGTTTTGTTTTGTCTTGTCTTTTTTTTTTAGCACATACAATTTAGTGTTGTGGTCAATTAAAATGACTGTAGCCCTGGAAAAGCTATGCAACAATTCAAAAGAAAACCTGTAGAAATTTAATATATGTCTTCTTTATAATGACATGAAGTCTATCTCTTTGGATGTAAAATATAAAGTCTTTTTATGTATAAAACATTTTCACAGTACTGCATAMCCTGTACTCATCAGTGACTTCAAATAATGCAGTTATAAACAAACAGTCATGAAATATATGTGGTAAAGAAAGAAAGAAAAAAATCTGTTTAGTTTTTTGGGGACATTCACTTGAATCTCTGATAGTTCACAGCTTTTAGTAAATTATATAACACCCCCCCCACCCCCATGACTCCCCTCATTTTATTGTTTTGATCAAAGATGAGTGAAACCCACAACCAGCATTCAGCCTCATTTTCCTCACATTTAAAAACTGGAGACCGAACAATAACAAACCTTGCAAACTGCAGTCTGTGCAGACATGGAAGATAAAATAGCAAGAGGAGGGGGAAATGAAATCAATTTGCAAACGGAAGTGAACCCAAAACCTTTTATTTATTTATTTATTTATTTCTGTTTGTACACTGAGGCGGAAGGAAGGAAGGGAGGAAGGATGGAGGCGGTGGGTGTGTCCCTCTCTGAGACGCATGCCCCGTGCGCACTGCGCGTCCTGGCCTGTCAGTAGCAGCCAGATGGAGACGTAGGCAATGAGTTTGGTGAGGTCACGTATTTTTAAGCCGCACAACGGGATAAATCATCCTTCGGCGGCGGCATAAACAAACAAGCAGCCGCTCCGGGACGTTGTTTTGGCAGGCCGCGGATCGTGTGTTGCTTTGATGAGAGGTAAGATGGTGTGTGTGTGTGTGTGTGTGGTGGGGGGTTCGCATCGTACAGCGCCTCAGACGTGCTCATTGTTTGGCCGTGGGGGGAGGGTCGTGTAAATCGCTGAGTGCACGCTTCTTAACTAACCTCTAAAAACACAGATTCTGTGCTTCTAGAGTCGAAACATCCGCACACGGTTCGGTTCGGGTACAGAGACAGACCGCGCCTGTCAAAACCACGATCCCGGTGCCATGATCGCAGGAATAATGTCCTCTCTTGTTGCAGTCAGTGTGTGTCCGGCCGGCTGGCTGCTTTATATTAATCTGGCTGCATCAGATCACTTCAGCCTGCATGGCTGCTTTCTGCGGTAATCAGTCCTTTTTTTTTTTTTTTTTTTAACCTGCAGTCGTCTCCAGCAGGAAGACAGTGGAGAGGTCATGTGGTCAAAGAGATGCAGGAGAGACGGATAATGACGGGCTGATGGCTGCGATGGAGATGTAGAGAAGCAGTTTCCTATTTGTCCTCTATCTGTCAGCTGCCATTTCTGCTCTGCATGCATCACAGTGGGGTTGTGCTATATAACAGGAAACGCACACAGTCATAGGAATACGCCTGCTGGCTGTGTGATGGAGGCTGTTTTCTCTGTAAAAGTGGATGTTTAATGCTGCTTTGATGAAAGTATTATATAATTTGTTAATATTTTGCAATGGTTTTCTAGACATGTGACRTAGTTGGATGCTCCAGTCCTGGACGATTTTTGTGAGAACTTACAAGATAACCACAATTGCAGTTTTCTGGCAGATCTTCAAAAGGCCTGACCTGCTGGTTCTGATTTTGGCCGATACCATTTTTTYAAACGTTATAAGGTCACCATACACCTTCAATATTCCAATCTTATTCTTAGGGGTGCACTGATTACAGTTTTCTGGCCAATCAGCGATCTTTAAAAGGCCTGATCTGCCAATTCCTATTTTGACCAATACCAATATTTTAAATAGCGTATGCTGACAGGTGATAAGGGTACACCTTCAATGTTTCAGTCTTGTTTTATTGAAAAACACTGATCCGTGAAACAATACTTACTTGTTTTATAGTGCTCACAGCAGAGCAAAAGGGAACAGTGTCTGATTTTCAGACCTCGGAGGTAGATGAAAAGGCGATACTTTCCACCAATCTTATCGGCCAATCTGCACTCCTACTTATTTTTAGGGGTGTAAATCACTAGCTTTATCACGATATATCGATTTGTTTGGATGCCAATTTGATATTTGTTGATATCACAAAGTCTTTCACGATACGATTGCGATTCAGTTCAATTCACAAGTCTGCGATTGATATAATGCAATATCGTATGGYCATCTAACACAATGACTGTGATAGATGGGCCTACGGTATTGATCTACGTCGAGCGTATGATGACGATATAGATCGATATTTTCATTTTGTCTTGATATAATTGAATCATGAACCGATACATCAATATGGATCAATGTACTGTTACACTCCTACTTATTTTATTGAAAAACATTGAACATTGAAACAATACAAACTTGTTTTAATTGGACATTAAGTAGTGCATACAGCAGAGCAAAAGGGGACAGTGGCTAATTTTCAGACCTTTGTGGAGGTAGATGAGAAGCAGATCTTTTCCACCAAACTTACTGAAGTATTGGCTGATCTCCAATGTCTCAAAATTAAGGAAATTGGGTGCCCCGGCTTATATTATTAAAAACATTGAACRAYACCCTTGAAACAATACAAACCTGTTGTAATTGGACAACAGCCCTCTCTCRCAGAGCAAAAGGGGACAATAGCTGATTTTCAGACTTTTCCTTAGGTATATAATGTAAGTATTGGCCTAAAATTAAGGAAAATGGGTGCACCCCTAATTTGAGTGTGTATTTGGGAAGCCATTTGATAAATCCTCACTTTTTAACAAACAATAGGAGTTTAGCCAAACCGAAGAAGAGCATTCTTCACTAACGTTGCAGTATTGTTCCTCTAAAATTCTGCAGCTGACACTTTAAACGTGAACAAGTTAGATATTTTTATTTGTCGTTGTACATGTTAAACAGGCTGTTTGGAATGCTCTCACAAGATAAGAATTCAGGGTTAGAAAAATAAAAGCAGCAAAATGGGTTTAAATTTATAATTAATTTCAGGGGGATGTGTTGATGCAGCAAGCAGTCATGTGCATCGGTACATAAGCTCGTAGCAGGCACGTTGATATTACCACTAAAGGAATTTGTGTCATGAGATTTGCCCGACTTTAATTATCTTTATTGACAGCCAGTATTGAGAAATTAACACAATTATGTGCCCATCACAGGAAATACATTGTCATGTGCTTTCTTGTGTGCAACATAAAACAAAACAAAAAGAAGCAGCATTTCTATTTTCATTCTGCGAAGGAGGTGGATGTTCTGGACGTCTTTGTGACGTCGGCGGAACAGACGGGGAGCTGACTCACTTCATTCTGCCAATTATACCCCTCATATGGAGTTAGCGTCCGGAGCGTGGACGGATGGGGAAGGGTTGTCGATCTGTTTGTGTGAGAGAAGGATTTGTTCTTCGTGCGAGCTGAAACAGTTGTTGAATCTTCGTTAGGTGGGTTCACAGCAACGCGTTAGTTAGAAGGCGGTGGTGGAACCGAGCTGGAGCTCTGGGCTAGGATCCAAACTCCGAGGAATTATCACTGAGCTTGGTTTTCCAGAGTGGCAGCCTCTCTCTCCTGGAGTTGTGTTTCATGTGATGGTGTGCAGACAATCCGCCCGCTGTTCCGCCATYGCCGAGGATGACATCTAATCTTCCGCCGATGCGTTTGCAGAGTTGCTGATTTAAGAAACTGCAGTGCTCGAGTGTGAAATGCAGCAGTGTTGTTTTTTTCCACTTTCTAATCTGTTTTCTCAGGTGCAGAGATTTTCATYAGCTTTTCCTTTTTTTATTTTGTATTTACCACTCTGTTCATCAGCCATATTTAGTCTGACATGCAAATTTAATTCCATGTGCATCTTCTTTTTCTTCTTGGCAGAGGACATTTTTTGATGCGCAGAAAGTGGTAATCGAAGAATTTGCAATGAACAGAAACAGGAGAGACAGAGACTTCTACAGTCTCGATGTTGGGGATTCAACGTTCACAGTTCTGAAGCGATACCAGAATCTAAGACCCATTGGTTCGGGAGCACAGGGAATCGTCTGGTGAGTGATTTATGCATTCTTTTCAACACGTGTATATTTCCATACATTTTCCAGACCTATCAATAGTTAGCTAACAGCTACACGCTTGAAATACGGGTCACGTTCTTCCTGCACGTCGCTGAAACATTCCTGAGAATCAACAAATATTTTTACGTCACCTTCCGTTAGAGAGAAAACTGAGAAGGCTCTCCACGCTGCCTGTAAATTTAGCACCTTTCGGGCCACACTTGAGGCTTGTTAGAGAATGAAATCCCATTTGCGACCGAGTCTAAAACTAATTTGCTTCTTGCTCCTCAGCTCTGCCTATGATCAAACCCTTGAACAAAATGTTGCCATCAAGAAGCTGAGTCGACCGTTTCAGAACCAGACCCATGCCAAGAGGGCGTACAGAGAACTAGTCCTAATGAAATGTGTCAATCACAAAAATGTAAGTGTGCAGCTATTTTCAGATGCATTGCATTTCGCAAGTGAACAATATGACCGTCAATCATAATGACACAATTTTGATTATTATTATTATTTTTCATCCACAGATTATCGGCCTGTTAAATGTATTTACGCCACAAAAATCATTAGAAGAGTTCCAAGATGTGTAAGTCAACAGTTTGAGCTCAACGTTAAATTAGAGCTCATCATACGTGTTGCCATTCAAACCCCCTCCCGAACCCTGAACTGTCTCTGTCCTGTCAGATACTTGGTGATGGAGCTGATGGATGCTAACCTGTGCCAGGTCATTCAGATGGAGCTGGACCACGAGCGGCTGTCCTATCTGCTCTATCAGATGCTGTGTGGTATCAAACACCTCCACTCTGCCGGCATCATCCACAGGGTAAGCGGCGCTCCGACACCAGGCTAACGTTCGAAAGTGTGAAGTCCCGAACCATTAAACCTGATGCGAGACATGACACTAAAGCGTGAGGGCAAACAGTCAGCTGACACCATGTTAGGAAACTGTTCACATGAGTAATTGTCATGTGAACAGGGGGGGATTTGAAGAAATGTTTTAGTCATTTAGATACTGATTTTAGAAGCACTACACCATTGTTTTCCTTTTTAAGTATTGACTTTTATAATCTATTGTTTGACTATTGTTATGTCTTCATTAAAATAGTTTAGATACATGCCCGAAACACCATCACAACACATAATAAACCGTTATAAATGCATTAGGAAAGATATTTTCTGAACGAGTTGCCTGCGATTCAGCCGTAGGCCAGCAGTGGGCGTAACAGGCACTGAAGATCCTGTATATATATATGCCGGGACTTCCGGTTTTCATTCAGCGTGKGTTTCATGACTGACTGATCAGCATTAAACCTCCGTTCACTCCAGTCACTGGTGTTGTAAGGTGCTTTTCTCTTCACATTTTAATCTATTCAACATTTAAGTGGTTTTGTCTCGATTTTAGTTAACGAACACTAAATTTTCTCACAAAACAACCATACTTTCAGAAAACAGGATTTAAGATGTCTGCTGGTTTTTGTTTTTTTTATTTTTTTGTACAGGGATACAATTAAATCATTTGTGTAAAATGGCCTTGGGTAAATAAAGAAAGACTGGATTTGTTGCAGCTGTTTATAAAGCTGTTATCAGCTGGTCTAGACAGCTAACCTCCAAACTGACTATGGCAGGCGACTGTATCATTTCTCTTGAAGGGAACCAAGGCCCGTGTCTATTTCTCACAGTTTGAAAGAAAATGATCCATATCCAACATAAATTACAATGTGTTGTGTAATTTTGCTAACAGGCAAAGAAAATATGTGATTTTCAGCTGCATCGTTTGTAACAGAAATCACACATAAGATAAATAATAAATACAAATGGCATCATGGCAACAAATTCTCATCACTGCTAACGGATCAAATATGATTATTCTTGTAAAAAAAAAACTAAAGTTTATTCCTATTATATTTTAAAAAGAACAATATTATTAGCAAAGTGAAGGTGCAAGCAAACACTATAAGATTATAAGATTTCTTCTTTCTGCTGCCTTTCATTTTATTTGTGATTTGTATTTTTTCTGTAAATAGAATTGGTTTTGCTTTTAAACAAAATGAATAAATGATTAAAAAATGCTAATGGAAAAAAATAAGATTAAATGCCAATTGATTTGTTTGGATCTGTGGAAAATCCATTAATGGGCAAATCGTTACTGCACAGAAATGCAGACAGAGAATTTCCTGCTTATATATGAGCTCAATTATATTCTGACTTTTACAAACAAACAATCAGGCCTTGTCATTTTGGTATTCATTTTGTTTTAAAATAGTGGCTTTGACGATTTTGACGTAATTTGACAAAGCTCTTGCTTATTTGACTTATAATTTCTGTAGGACCTAAAGCCCAGTAATATAGTTGTCAAGTCCGATTGTACACTGAAGATTTTGGACTTCGGCTTGGCCCGGACAGCTGCCACAGGCCTCCTGATGACACCGTATGTGGTTACACGCTACTACAGAGCGCCTGAAGTCATTCTGGGTATGGGCTACCAGGCTAATGGTGAGTAATGGCCTTAAAGCWACATCTGCTTCTCAAGTAAATTGGCAGTGTCGCTGTTGATTTTTTAGTGCATGAAATAACGATACAACTGTGGGGAATTTTTACACAATCTGTTATTATTTGTATTCAGGCAGCTGAAGATAAATCTTGCTGTTAACACTCTAAACTATGCATGTTGTGTAAAATGAGAATTAATGATGGGGAAATGTTCCTTAASAAGCTTCTCACATGTAACCAGCAGGTTGTTTTGCATTCATGACTTCTTATTGGCTTTTTTTTTATTATGTTCCACTTCAATAGTGGACATTTGGTCTGTGGGCTGCATTCTGGCAGAAATGGTTCGCCATAAAATCCTCTTCCCAGGAAGGGACTGTATCCTTCTGTTTGAGCTGCTTCCTCTTGTTTATGGTTTTTGGGATTTTCTAAATGTTTTCCCACGTTTGTCTCTGGGCGTTTTTTTTTTTTTTTTTTTTGTGTTCCAGGCTGTTTAATAAAAGCTCATATACTGCAGCATGTTTTATTTAAGCATTAATTAGCTGTAGATTTTCTTATAGTTATTTGCTCAGTGGTGCACCGCATTGTTGCTGCACCGACTCCATTTTCATCATCGCACCTCAGCCATTCCATTTGCATTCCTCTCAGTTTGTTTTATTTTTGTTATGTCTTCCTCTCTTTACCATTTGTTTGCATGTCCGCCACTCTGTCTTCCTAACGTCCACCTCCAGTGGATGTATGGTCAGTGGGCTGCATAGCTGCCGAGATGGTCAGGGGAAGCGTGTTGTTCCCCGGCACTGATCGTATCCTTCCTTCCCTCTCACTTTCATCGTTTCATAATGAAGAGATCTGCCACCATCCTGAGAGTTTCCTCTGTCATTCTGCCGTTCCCACCCATCACATCCTCCATGACCTACATGCTTGCCGTGCTGCACCCATCTTAGGCATTTTCTGGCAAGATTAATTGGAGCAGTCGCACGGTTATTGGATTTTTGCAGTTTTGTCTGTAAACCCTTCATAATCCTCTATAGATTGCTGAAAATTGCTTTTATTTTTGTCTAAAATGGCTAAAAAGACATACAAGGTAAAATTTGAGACCTGATTGCAGCTAAACCGTTTGACTTTTAATCCTAAATCCATTTAATTCACTGCTACAAATTAGGTTGTTTGGTTTAGGAGTGTGTGTGTGAGTTTGTGTGTTGAAGAGAGCTGCCTGTGTGTGTGTGTGTCGACCTCAAAGAAAGCTAAATGTCATGCTGCCCTTCTGGTGCGTTGCAGTCTGAGTGTGCGTCTGTGTTCGCGTGCGGCTCTTTCCTTGAATATTTTGAATTCAGACATCGACCAGTGGAACAAGGTAATCGAGCAGCTCGGCACGCCGTCTCAGGAGTTTCTAATGAAGCTGAATCACTCGGTGAGAACGTACGTGGAGAACAGGCCGCGGTACTCCGGCTACAGCTTCGAGAAACTCTTCCCAGATGTGCTCTTCCCGGCCGACTCTGATCACAACAAACTGAAAGGTAGAGGGAAAAAAAATCGATCAAAACACAGAATTGATCATTTCTGCCTTGATGATAAATGGCCTCGTTTCTCATCTTCTTGTTTTTTTTTTCTTGTTCCCCCTCAGCGAGCCAAGCCCGAGATCTTTTATCCAAGATGTTAGTGATTGATGCATCCAAGCGTATCTCTGTAGACGAAGCCCTGCAGCACCCGTACATTAACGTTTGGTACGATCCAGCTGAAGTGGAAGCAGTAAGTTGATCACATAGACTTCGTTTTATTAGTTGGCATTTATTTTGAAATATCAGTCTTCCATTTCAGTCTTTGTCCCGTATTTTTTCACAGCCACCTCCAAAGTTCTCAGACAAACAGCTGGATGAGAGGGAGCACACAGTGGAGGAATGGAAAGGTTAGTCAGCACAATCGACTCAACCACACTCAGTTTATCAGTGTCAGATTAAATGTATCTACTAATCAAATTTACTTCACAGAACAAGAAACAACTACAGCTCAAATGTATCGAGATACCTTATTTAAGAAATACCTAATACAAGGGCTATTCAACTAGCGGCCCGTGGGCCACATCCGGCCCGCGAGTGACCAAAATTTGGCCCGCTAATTGGTTGATTCACTTAAGCCCAAACCCCCTGCTTTCTACTTTAATTACTCAAAATTCTTTTAGCTGGACATAGACATGTTTGGTATCTACAGAAACGTCAGAACCTTGGCTACAAGCTAATAAAAATCATTTCAGTGAACACCCAAGACAGTTAAAACTACAAGCAGTTGAAAATAAAACTATTAAAGTGAAAATAAAATTGGTTTAAAAAATTTGGCAGGTCAGATATGTCAAAATATTATTTGTGGTAATATGCATATTTTTGTTTTTGTTTTATTATCCTTACTTTTAATGATGCACTTGCGACCTGTCCAGGTGCTGGATAGGGGCACCAGTGACCCTGAAAGGAAGAAACGGGTATAGATAATGGATGGATGAGTCATTACTTTTATTACATTGTATCACAGCTCCTCCTCTGATTGGCAGGGGCAGTGGACCTTGAGTAATGGGAAGCACCTCGGTGCAGTGATATAATCAGTGCTCCACTAACCATTTCTCTCTCTGTGCTTCTCCAGGTAACTCCTTGGTTTTTTTTTTGTTCTAGGTTGGATTTTGGATTTATTTAGATTTATGTTGATAACAAAACTGTTTTAGTTGGCCTTTACCTTGTCTCCCCTCATTTTTGTTATGGGCCATGGGTTGGCCTGTGACAAATGGGGGCTCGTCCGGGATTTGAACCCTGGACCTCTCTTATTCTGTATGTTGTATTCATGATGAAATGCAGCAAAAATAAACTATTTCAAAGGTAACAGATCTTTGTAATACTTTGTTTAATTACATAATGACTTGCTGGATGTTCGGCCCCTCAGCTGTTGGCCTGCAGCAACTGTGGCCCCCTGGAGCAATTTAGTTGAGTAGCTCTGCCTTATGCATTGGCTAGATTTTCTGCTGAATCATACTTAACTGAAACTTACAGTTTGACCAATAAAAAAGTAAACCATTTTAGATAAGGATTTCATGTGACTTTTTTGTGATTAGAGTTGTTGATGTGGATAGCTAACATCTGCTGCCACTTACAGTTTTAGTCAAATATCTGTAAAATTGACTGAGTTATGGGCATTTTTGTGTTTGCAAAGGTTGATCWGCTCTAGCAGCCTTATTAAATTGGGTTGACTCAAACTTCTACTCAGTCGTAGATGTACACCCAGTAACTATTTTCTGAGAATTTCATTAAAGTCTATCCAGCGGTTCACGAGATAATTTCTCTAACAGACGGGCAATGCTTGAACAGTTAAAGGGCTAGGATTGTGTTGAGCACAGAGGAGACGTGTGATCCTGAGTAAATATCACTTTCATTTGTGCTGCAAGATGAGCTCATACCAGCCCCCCTCAGGTGAAAATGACCCCTCACTCATTTTTAGAAGGGTCACAGCAGCAAAGCCGGCCGAAATTAGAAACATGGTGGTGTTTGGACTATTCAGTATGCAGTCTATCCCAGCTATACAGAAAAATAAATGACACCCTAGAAGACAACCATGGAGCACTYCTCTCTGTGTTCTCAGTTTTACTTGACCTTTTGCTGTTTTTTTTCTCCTCCAGAATTAATTTATAAAGAAGTGAGCGAATGGGAGGAACGAACAAAAAATGGAGTGATAAGGGGTCAGCCGTCTCCTTTAGGTGAGTAGTTTCTGTAAATTGGATTAGAAAAGTGGAAATGTGAGCAGTAAATTAATAGTATTTTTGTTTTCGAGGGATGCATGTTTATTATTTAAAATGTCTTCATAACTTCATAACATTATCACTTTAGAACTGAAAATAAAATACAAGAATAATGATTTTGACTTTAACTGTAAGCTCACTGAATGCACAATTAATGCAAAGAATGAAAAATAAATTAGCTGATTTGTACATTTATAGTAAATCGAGGCAAAATCTTAAGTTTAAGTGGCGATGGATCATCACTAGTGAAACAGAAATACAGTATATACTGTATTGAAATAATTTACTGTCTTTGAGTTGCATTTTAAACAAAATGTTTAAGTCCAAAAGCAAAATTCAGATTTTTGTTAATCAGCTATGATGAAGCATTTGCTTCTGAAATACAGAATATTAATATTAAACAGAAAATCAAGGGTTCATATTTTCCCTGCTCTCTGCAAATTACACTYAAATCTCTACTTTTATCAGCCTTTATTGGGTTATTTCAGCCTAATTATAGTACCGGTACATTTTACTTTAGAAGCAGATTTTTTTTACAGTTAACATTTCACAAATGGAACATCTTCTAGGTAACATGTTTACCAATCACATCTGCAGTTTATACACTCTGCATCTACTTTCTAACCTGAAATATGTTTCTTTTAATCTCACTTTTCATGTTGTTGTTTTTTTCTTTGTGTTCAACCAAAACATAGATCTCTTCCAGAAGGAGCAGAATTTTGTCTGGTCAGTCTTTGTTGCAGCTGAGTAAAGCATGGCTGCACAACTGTGCTGAGAGATGCACATTTTTTAGTTGTTTTGTTTGTGCAGCATTTCATTAATGCAGACTTTTTTTTATTTTTCTACATCTTTTTTAAATTAGATATGTTTAATATGGTGAGGTTGAGAAAACACTTTAGGCATAGATTTAGAGTTTTTTTTCTTATTATAACCAAATATCACTCCTATTTAAAATAGGTATTTTAAGTTTTTTACATTTTCTAGTTGGGATAAATTTGCTTTTAGAAAACACAGCCTGTGCATGTCTTTTTCTTTAACACTCACGTTTTCAGTGGAGTGTCTTGGCTTTATAGGTTTGTGGGGGTACAAATGGACATGTTGGTTTATATTACGTCTAAAATATATTTATTTTATTGTATCGCATTCTTAACTAAATTTGAACTGCTAATAGTTGAGATGAATACATTAGCCACATATATAATTACAGTGGTGGGCAGCACTAATCTAAAAATTAGTTCCACTGGCCCTAAAACACTAACTCAAATATTTAGGTCCCCTAATTCTAAAGCACTAATGCACTGAAAGTTTTCACAAAAGCTAATTCTAAAGCACTAGAATAACCCAGTCGACCCATGAACATTCTTCAACGACAACATGAGTCACATATTGCCATGTTGCTCTCTTAAAGTGCCTGTGACATCAAATTTTTGTAATAAACATGAATGCATTTTTGGAAAGATAACATTGATAACATATAGCAAAATAAATTTCACGTTGCTGAGATGAACGGTTGTTGGGATATTTACATGTGAAGAAACAGGAAATGATGTCAAAAGGGAATGTCAGCATGTAAACAGAGCATTGTTACAAAAACAACACAGACTGTGAAGAATAATCTGATGTTTCTTTAGATTATTTTTAGTTTCTATCAAAGAGAGACAAAGAAGAGTTAAAGTTCAAATAATTTTGTTTTAATAAACAGAGACCAGTGAGTTTATTTTATTAATGAGTTCCCCTTTGATGTCACTTCCTGTTTCACATTAGCTGAGACAAATTTAAAAGAAAATAGGCCAGTTATGTGACAAAATGGGTACAATCATGTGTACTATGCCAATTTTCTTAAGAATAAAGATGCTTTCTTTGACTTTTTGTATTTGATGGATATGTACATGACAGGCACTGCATTACTTATCATTGACATTCCACAGCTGTATTTGGGTTCATATATTGTCACCTAATGGATAAGTGACACATATGAACAACATGAGTGACAGCTTTCACCCTCATTTGTTAACAATAATGTTGATCAATAACATTTATAGACCTCAGTTAGTGCCTATAAATTTAACAAGTGCTAACCCACTAATTTTAAAATTAGCAAAAGCCCTAAAGCACCAACCAGGACATTAGTTCCCCTTTTAGTGCTTTAGGGAAACTGTGCCCAATTATACTGTATATACTGTATATACAGTGGTTTGCAAAAGTATTCATACCCCTTGAACTTTTCCATATTTTGTCACATTACAACCACAAACATAAATATAT